ATATATGGCAGTATGGACTCAGATAACCCAGTTCAAAGCAGATATTGTGGGGTTTTCTGCCTTGATAATCTGGATTATATGACTGTCTGGTAGGACCTCCAGTTGCTTTTTATGAAAATGAGTTATTTCTGTATTATCAAAGGCTTTTATGGCCAGAATCACTGGATTGTTGTGTTTTCCGGGCTGTATGGCTATGTTCCAGAAGCATTCTCTCCTGACGTTTCGCCTGCATCTATGGCAGGCATCCTCAGAGGTTATGAGGTTGTGACCTACAAGAGCAGCATTCAAACAGAGATGGATTGGATTTTGTATCTTGATGAGGTAGAATGCTTCTTGATCAAATATATGACAAACATATTTTAAAATCAAAAAAGCTACATTACTGAACCAGTTCCATGTAAGGTTGGAGCAAGACATTTGACTGAAGTATAGAGCAAAAGATGTTCCTTAATTCAATGGCAGGCATCCTCAGAGGTTGTGAGGTCTCCCCTGGACATTCCATAGATATATAAACCCCACTTGCCTAGTTTCCAACAGACCTTACATAGGTGCAGGTGAAACGTCAGGAGAGAATGCTTCTAGAACATGGCCATACAGCCTGAAAAAACTACAACAACCCAATGTTACTTGTGATAAATTATAATTAATAATGAAGGACAAATAACAACAACCCAGTGATTCCAGCCATGAAAGCCTTTCACAATGCATTGAACACCTCTACGGGGAGAAACTGGTCCAACAGACCTCACAACCTCTGAGGATGCCTGCCATAGATGCCATAGAAGCAGGCGAAATGTCAGGAGAGAATGCTTCTGGAGCATGGCCATACAGCCTGGAAAACACACAACCCTGAGTTATTTCTGTTTGCTTTATATTGGAGAAGAATGGAAGAGATAAAACAGTTGCTTTTCAATTTGGTGATGATGATGGCGTCTTCCATTTCCTCTGCTATTCACAAACTGGCAAAACAAAAGAGTACAAGCATTGTCGAAGGCTTTCATGGCTGGAATCACTAGGTTGTAGGTTTTTCGGGCTATACGGCCATGTTCTAGAAGCATTCCCTCCTGACGTTTTGCCTGCATCTATGGCAAGCATCCCAGAGGTTGTGAGGTGAAACGTCAGGAGAGAATGCTTCTAGAACATGGCCGTATAGCGCGAAAAACTTACAACAACCCAGTGCAAGCATTGTTTACAGTTCAGAGCCAATTTAGCCCTGCTTGTAACAAAAAGTAATGTTTAAATTCCATTTTTAATTGTGGTTTGAATAAACTGCTTTTTATAGTCCAAACAGACTAATGTGTTTTATATTCCAAAGTAAGGAAATAACTTTCTCACTCCTTTCTATTAGTGTCAGATTTTATATTAATTTCAGATGGTACATCTACACTGTAGAATTAATGCAATGTGACCCCACTTTAACTGGCTCAGTGCTTTGTAATATTATTTGCCAATGAAGGCTAAATGGCTTGCAAAATTACCATTCCCAGGTTTCCATCGCATTGAGCCCTGTTATTTCTCCTGTTTCTTTCCTCAAAACAGTATATTCTCTGATATTTCAATTTCACCTTCTTCAGTTACATACATACGGAGCCTCTGATAGCGCAATGGGTTAAACCGTTGTGCCAGCAGGACTGAAGACTGATAGTTCGGAGGTTCGAATCCAGGGAGAGTGTGGATGAGCTCCCTCTGTCAGCTCCAGCTCCCCATGCGGGGACATGAGAGAAGCCTCCCACAAGGATGGTAAAACATCAAAACATCCGGGTGTCCCCTGGGCAACATCCTTGCAGACAACCAATTCTGTCACACCAGAAGCAACTTGTAGCTTCTCAAGTTGCTCCTGACACGAAGAAAAAGGGTTACATACCAAGGAAAAATGTCTAAAGCAGCCTAGTAACTATACTAATTGCTATAGAGATATGTTCCTGTCCATTTTTGGTTTTCCCCTGACATGAAGTCCAGTCGTGCCCGACTCTGGGGTGTGGTGCTCATCTCCATTTCTAAGCCGAAGAGCCGGCGTTGTCCGTAGACACCTCATGTGACTGGCACGACTGCATGTAGCACCGTTACCTTCCCGCCTGAGTGGTACCTATTGATCTCACATTTGCATGTTTTCGAACTGCTAGGTTAGCAGAAGTTGGGGCTGTCAGCGGAAGCTCACTCCACTCCCTGGAATCGAACCTGCGACTTTTGATCAACAAGCTCAGCATCTCAGTGCTTTGACCCACTGCGCCACCTGTCCATACGTTACCATTAAAAGGTATCAGGCTCGTTAAAACTACATTCAGTCATTTCTTTTTCAAATAAACATGCACCTTTTTTGGTTTCCCTCTGACTGATTAGCAAGACATCCTGTTCGCATCTGTGTAAACAACAGCACACTTACTAAAGTAATCTGTCTTTTCTTTCCAATGATAGACATACTTTGTATTGAACTGTATGCAAAAGTGTCTGTGCATCATGTGTTCCTTTGTTTAACTTTCTGTTTGAGGAATGTGATGGCATCCGAAGTGCCACTGAAGATCAAACAGACTTTCAAGGAAGAAATCACTGAAGGTATCTCTAGCCTCGCTTTTCATTAATATATCCCAGTATACTGGGATAGTGTCATGTTCCTTGTCATGAGAGTTTAGAAAGCCAGAACTTTTACTCCATACATTGTTCTCAGTTTCAAGGTGATTGTAATCCTAAAACGTATGGATATAGTGATGAACCGAGAAGGTTATCATGTTCATTGTGGAACAAAGGCAGGAGGGAGGCTGTTGTCTAAAGTGAGAGTAAGGCTGGATCTACACTGCCATATAATGCAGTTCAAAGCAGATAATCTGGATTCAGAAACTGGATTACATGGCAGTGTAGAGTAGACCTATGTTGACAACCATATGAATACTGGAGAAAGAATTACTGGAATATAGTGTGCTATGTGCGTAGGGAACCAGAAAGGAGATATGATAAACTGGTCAAGGTTGCCCTCATGAGGCTGGTGTGTTAACTTCTGTAATAACATGCATACTAGTGTGCCAGGAAACCATTATCTCTGTTCGACCCACTGTTGATGGGCTGGAGTTAGTAGATGTATTCCAATTCCACTATTTGGCTTCAAGGATTGGATTTATGCAGAAAATTATCTAGTTAAAATAAAATTCCAATACTCTGTTGGAAATGTTAATATTAGTCTCTGGATAATGTTGGACATCTATTTTTGTTTGAAGCTGCACTATGCCAATAGATTTATGATTACAAAACTTATAGAAATTGTTTATGCATTCGAAGTAAGTAGGGTAAATCAATGGAGAGAATTCCATATTATATGTAATCTTGTTACTTTTTTTACATCAGCATTTTCTTCCTGGCTTTCTACAAACCTAGATTACAACTCTGTCAACACTTCTCTGAACTTAGTGGAGCTTATGACTGAATATGGAAGGAAAGTACTTTTAAAGTCCAGGTACAAATCCATGTTTAGCTACAAGCCCTTCCAGACAGACCCTATCCCAGGATCTGATCCCAGGTTTTCTGTTTTAAACTGGATTATATGAGTCCGCACTGCCAGATAATCTGGGATAAACAGAAAACCTGGGATCAGATCCTGGGATATAGGGCCTGTCTGGAAGGGCCCTTCATCATTTATTGTTGACTTCAAGTCAGTTACTTTTAGCTCAGCATATATCACAGAATAGTTGTTAAATGACTGTATAGGCCCTTCCAGGCAGGCCTTATATCCCAGGATCTGATCCCAGGTTTTCTGCTTTAAATTGGATTATATGAGTCTGCGCTGCCAGATAATCTGGGATAAACAGAAAAGCTAGCATCAGATCCCTGGATATAGTGCTTGTGTTTAAAAAGTGAAACCACCTCTCCAGCTGTGGATTGTGATTTATAATGATCCAAAACTATGTATGATATTTGCCCTTTTGTAAATGGCTGTACAAAAGATAGCATGCCACAGCACCAGAAAACAAGTGTTCTCCTGTTTGTAACTGAGCAAACATGGAACTCTATTATTGTATTTTTTTTCTTTGTTGCCATTTATCAGAGAATC